GACCCTGGACACTGCCCTTCGCACCAACTGCTCCCACGCCCAGCACTGCTCCCGTCTCCTGACGGAAGTGCCATTCGTCAACTCGAAAACATACGCACGCCAGCCGTGGGCGCGCCAACGGCAGCGGCTGGCCCCAGCCGCAGGCAAGTGGCACCATTGTCAGGCAGGACCACCAGCTTCCAGCCGCACGTCCGTGTCCCTCAGGACAACTTGCGGACCGACAGGCTACGCTACAGCCATCAATTTGTACAAGAGGCGCGGCGCCGGCCCGCCACTATCTCGGGGGCCACGCAAAAAATCGCCATCAGGATTGGCAGCCGCTTGTTCCTAGCATATTTGACCGGTCAAGGTGCCAAATTGCAAGTTTATATAAACACAAGCACTGTAAATGCCACCAAGCTGCATCAGCTCTCACGCATTATTCACTGACCCGAACAGCGCCCGTCCACTTGAGCATCCCCAACTTCCGATTGCACCCTCTAAACCCCCTGGAACGCAACCCCCACGACCAGCACCACGACCACCTCGTCAAGCACACGCACTGCACGCTTCGAATCAGCCCAGGATCGCACCGCCAGCGTCCCATTCACCATCCTCCGGCCTTCCCCTTTATTCCATAGCATCACGCCATCAGTTCCTTTTTCTCCGCTGATTTTGAGTTCGTTGAACGCTTTTCGTCAATGCACCTCGCATCGGGCCTGAATTTTTGGTCGCCGCAGTAATTAAGAGATGGTGCGGGAAACCAGCAGTACATATCAACATCCCCCACCACAACCTCAACCTAGCTGCAAAATTAAATGTTCGTCACCACGGTCCCATGAATATGTAAGGCAACCCATTTTCGAAATATCTATGGTTGCCAAGGCTCTTGCGACGATAGTCGCACCAGTCCCCCTGTCTTGGTTAAACCCCGGTCAAAGAGGCACCAGCCCTGGGACCCCTTGCACCAACTATTGCCCACACTGCACGGGCACGGCCTGGGCGGGATAGACTACGTGGCATCCTCGAGTCACTCTCGACCACAACAAAAAATTACGGCCGTTGTCCATAGTAGCAAGTGGCATGCGTTCAGAAGGAGCACTTATCCTGCGAGACAATTCTGCTCTGCGCGTCTACATCTTCTGCGACTTTTCTTTCTTTACCAATTTTCTGCTTATCGTGCCCACAAGAGTGCCAATCTTCTTGAAGCGCGACTCCCCTTCGGCTCCAGTCGGCGGCGGCGTACCTCCCTGGGAAGGGTCTGGCGCCGTGCGCCGGTCGAACCATGGCCAGGACGCTTTGACACTGCACGAAAAGAAAGCGAGAATTATGTGACTGCGTTGCAAGGGCACGAAATTCGTTTTCGACAATGTGACTGACATAAACGCCAGTCTGACAATTGCGAAACAAAGTGTTGTGAAGCGAAAATGCCGCATCCTGGTAATGCAGCCCTATAGTCTACAGTCCGTTGGCCATTCAGCTGTTGTAATGAAAGAGAGAGCACCCTGGGGGAGCACAAGACATTGGCATAGTGGTCTTCGTGGTCTGGGCTATGCGTGCTGAGTGGGGATTTGTTGTGGATCTGTCAGGGTGTCCAGGATTCTGCAAGAACTATATTGCGCCTTTTAATGGCTTTCTGTTGCACGCAAGTCAAAAAAAAAGAACATTATCTTGTAGTTCCTGTGCAATAGCTCACAATGCATCTGCGACCCTTTTGATTGTTGCTCTGACAACCGAAACCATATGAGCAAGAGATGAGAGCAGAATGATACTCATCGTTGACAGCACATTTGTGCTGTCACTGTTATCCTACAGAAATAGGACCCTTTAAGGATTCTTTTGGCACTGGCCAGCACTCCAAAAAAACAGATAGCATTCAACTACATGGCATTGGGCTTGCAAGACCATCCAGCAGGCACTGGGTATCATGGGTGGGCCAGTGGACCAGCCGCGCACCTGTCCCAGGCTGAGGCACACCAAGCAGCAGTGGATGCAGTGCAAGACGCGCAGGACTCCACAAATGTTGGATTCTTTTCGGAGTCGCGTCCCAGATCGCGTGCAAGCCTGCCACCGCCATACGAGGGATCATATGCGGCAGGTTGGGACGCTGCCGCACGATCCATGTACTGCATCGCAGGTGCCCCACCTGCACTTGCCACAAACCCGCCCTGTGGTGACCCAGCTTTCATTTCAATGCCCTCGGCAAAATCAGATCCCTGTGAAGGACGGAATGGATTGTGCTGCGGCTGTCGACTTGCAAGACCAGCATAGTAGTCGGCATTGTCATAGCGATAATCAGACTGTCCACGCTGCTCAACCACCGCACGCTGGTACGGGTCATACTGCCCATTGTCATCGGAGTAGGCACTGCGCTGCACATGCTGTGGACTAAACTGATTTCCTGCTGGAGACCGGACTGGTGAATGTACTGGGCTGCCTGGCAGCCCAGCGCCACCCCGCATCGTAGGTGACATGGCACTGTCAGTAGCAAAGGCAGGCAGCGCTGCAGCGATCTCTTCCCCTTCACTCTCTGAGGTGGCATCCGAGCCCTCCATGTCCCCCACCACCGGACCATTATCCAGAGGGGCGACAAAGTCGTCCAAAGGCCCCAGGGACGCCTGGATGTGTGTCATTGTGTCTCGTCGCTCCTCGTCGATCTTGTTTTCGATCTCGCCAGCAAGGAGCTCAGTGAACTGCTCAGTCTCTTCCTCTGAGAGGCCGAACTCCTCTTGCAGCTCCATGGCAACGGTTTCCACAGTGTCAGTGTCCAGATCGAATTGAAACATGAACAACTTCCCAGCGCCCGATGCAGAGATCATGTTAAGCTCCAGCTCCAGCTTTGTCGTGTTTGGTGTGGCCCCCCTCCTGGTGAGTTCAAATGTCCGTTTTCCCTTTGACTTCTTCTGCACGATCACAGCAGAAAATGCGAGTCATGGGCATTGCAACGGCACAGATTCTTAGTTCATGTCAACTTCGGGGATGGGAATCGCTCTCACTAGAGGGGAAGGGGGGGGGGGGCGACTCATACCTGCCCATCTCACTGCTCAGAGAAACGACACAACACATGGCTCACAGATAGTTGCTACCAAGCACCCGCAATCGGCAACAGTGGCAAAAAGGACTCGCTTGCCATTGTAAACAGTGGTGTTTCCCCCCAAACAAGTGCTCACACTGCCAGGCCACTCAAGCTGGTCACAAACACAGCCTTCATGATATTTGTCTTACCGGCATCTGTGGTGGCTTGGGAACATTGCTGTTCTTTTTGAGAGCCAGGTGGGTCTGAATAGGCCCAGGGGTCTTGCACTCGTTCCGGATGTCATCAAAGAAGGGATGCTTCACGAGCTGCCTTGCTTGGGGTCTCCTCTCATGGAAATGGTTGATGCAGAGCTCAATGAACTCCTGGCACTCACGGTCGTCAATCTTTTTCAGAGAGGCCGGGTGAATGCCCTGGTTGCATTCGAGAAAGCAAGCAGTCACAACCCCAACGCACACACGGCACCCTCCCTAGCAAGCAGTTTCCAGCTGGCAACTGCCATCAGCAGACACTTCTGCACCCCGTTCTGGCCAATCACAAATGTGCACAAGCTCATCAACTTCTTTGTCATAGCAACACAGCTCGTTCGCCCTTACCCACTAGGTAATATCAGGCATGGCTCCATGCAAGCCCCACAGGTTTGTTGACATTGTTGTGTGCACGCAAGCACCAATCTGCCAAAGAAATTTGACTCTTAACACTCACCATCGACACATGACGGAAGATCTGTGCCCTGTTCTTGCACTCCATGTAAGGAAACTGCATTGTGACCAGTTCCAGCATGCACATTCCATAAGCATATATGTCCACTTTCTCATTGTAGATCCCATGGTACAGCTCGGGTGCCATGAACTCAGGGGTGCCTGTTGTTCAATGGGCACCAACAACGAGTAAGGCAAGATGACAAAGGCGCCACGGGATGCCCATGCTACAATCGTGCAGGCAGGAAGCGGGCCTCTCTGCCAGGCCTAGCAATAGTGCAGATGGCAACAAACGCACTGCTTCCACTTGGATCGGGAAAGAATGGTTTGAAAGGAGCAAACGGTGTGGTGAGGCCTGTGTTCATCTATTGCCAAATGCTTATAAGTGCACAAACATTCAAGATCACTCACTGTAGATCCACGCAGTACAAATGTTTTACAATATGTTCACAATATTCACAGTTGGCACATGCTTCTGCTGCAACCTGGGGTGCAAGGACACTGATCGCCATGGGGTGATAAACACAATGGGGACAAGCACACTGCATGAGGGCAATGCAGTCCAGTGGCTGACAAATGTAACATCGTAGGTGCAGGAATTCATACTCTTCACCATTTGTGCTTGCCGCATTCGACTGCACGCTGAGGTTTCCCAAACCCAGGGAACCATGAACATCTATGGACATCCTGTGTTGCCATTGTTACAGACATATTCAATTGCTCCACGACAAGCACCCCAAAGCCGATCTCTCACCGAGCACACTCTGGCAGGTGGACAAGCCCTCCTCCATGAGCTTGGCAAGACCAAGGTCACCAATCTTGACCTCCCCAGTGACTCCATGGATGAAAATATTGTCACATTTTAAATCCCTGTGGATGATTGGGGGCTGGTGGCCATGAAGGTAGACAAGGCCCTGAAGGATCTGCCAAGCCCAGCGCTTGAGAACATTGCGGGGCATGCACTTATGAGCACGACGGTGCCTGTGCACACAAGAATCTGGTTAAGAACGTGCTGAATATATCCATGCAAGAAATATCGCACGTGCAGCACACTGAATAGAATATTAGCACAGCGTTGCTTGGAACCCACAGGACGCCTCATCAACCATGCATACAACATCAAGTATGCACTGCTTCCCTCCTACTCAACTGCTGTTTGCTGCCAATACACATATCCAGCTCGCGACATGGCAAGCCACCAACCATTGCACCTTCTCCGATCGTGCAACGTTGTCCGTCAGGCAAAGGTCCACCGCATCTCAACACATGCTATTGAAGCATTTTCTCGCACCTTCTCAGGGGTCCAGGATGAAAGTACTCCGTGATGAAATTGAGGTGGTTATTCTGGGTATCAATCCAGGAAGAGTAGAACTTCATGATGCTCTTGTGCTTTAGGCGCTTCAGGACTTCGATCTCATTCATGAGACGTGCTCTTGCCCTTGGGGTCAAGTTTCCTGGGATCTTGACCTGGTTCCATGCGATCTCCATGCCCTCATCTCTGTCAAAGCCTTTGTAGACCACCTTGGAAGAGCCTTTGCCGAGGACCTGGTTTGACTGCAGCACAACAATGGACAAGCAGGCATCAACAGTCCACTACCAATTTCGAGCTGTCCGCAAGGATAGCATTACCGATAGCTCCATGAGAGCATTGGAATTGCAGGCACGAGGCTCCGCTGTGCTGCATGCGCACTGATCATTCACTGCGATGCGCGGGCAAGTTTTCGCACAGTGAACACCATTGGGTGGTTGATGTGCCGGTTGTCCTCTATTTCCTCGTTAGCTTCTCTTTTCCATTATTCACCCACCCAGCATTTTATCAATTCCCTGCACTGCATCGCACCTTGGAGGGTGATGGCAGCATCCATGCGTTTCCATATTGCATGTTCTGGGAGCGTTCCTGTGCAAATTCTGGTGGTCCTCGTGGACGGGACACACAGTATTGAGGGCAATTTTGCCACGGCTTGTGCGTTGTTTTCCTGCAGGACCTCGCTGCCTTCATCGTCTGGTTGGGGTGTGAGTGTGTTCATCGTCTGGTTGGTGTGCGAATGTGAGTTGCCAAAGTTCACAAACACTATTGACACATGCAGGGCGAACCCACTACAGGAACAGTATTTCTGGAGATAATTCGTCCATGAAGACCAAATGACGACACCGAGATGACGGAAAAATCGCAGAAGCTGTTGCAGAAGAAGCAACAATCGCGCTGTTTTTGTTGAGGGAACAGTATGGATTACGGTGACCAGCCCTTTCGAAGACAAAAGAGCAACATTCTCTCAGCAATACCACATGTTGGGGCTCTGTTGTACGCACAACAGCACAGCCACCAACATCAGGCGCCACAGAGTTTCCCATTCGCTGATGTGTGCCACACGCAACCCTGGACATCCCCGTGCGGTCGATTGCATCTTCCAAGCACCGCGGCAGCCGAGGGCCCGACGTTCGAGCAGCTGTCCCTTTCCACGCTATCGCTCATTGGGTTGCGCAGCAGTCGGCCACCCCCCGTTGTCGTTATGGACCCCCGGGACTCGCTTTCGCGGCACTGACATCTGAATCCGCCGGCCCATAGTCAGGTAAGCAGTCCGGTATTTCCATGGACCCGTGTTCCGGTATCTCCAGGCGCGCAGCACGGCTCGCAGCTCAGCCCGCGCAAAACGAGGCCGCCGGCCCTTTGCCTGAGCCTTCCCCTCGCCCACGAGTCCATGGGGCTGGCCCAGAGGTACGCATTCAGGGGGCAGGGAGCCAGACGGGGACAGGTGGCATACCTGACGGCTTACTGCATTCGCATTACGCACGAAATTCGGCACGTCAATGCGCGCCACGCATTTCGCCTGCAGTGCGCGCTGTCACTACACTCGGGCGCCTCTGTAGATGGTGGCGTCCCGTGCCAGCGGACGGCGACCGCCGCAAAGGCTCCGGGGGGCTCGGTGCCCGCCGCAGTCGCTGCAACGGAATACAAGGGCCGAGGACGCTGCCGTGGTGCAGTCGCGGCCAACAAAATCCAAGCGTTGATTGCGCACACCCGGGCTCGACACGGGGGCGCAGCTCCCCAAGCCGCAGCGCCTTTCGACGCGGAATGCGCAAGCCCGCGGGCCGTCCCCGCTGCGCAACGCATCCGCCCAGATGCGCCCGCCTGATCCGCCCGAGCCTCCGCGCGGGGCACCGACCGAGACGCCCCGGCCGGCCGGCCAAATTCAATCGCCATCGGCCGATCGACCACCCCCGCTCACCCTCGTAAACCGCCCGGTGGGGTCCAACTCCACGTTCAGGTCTACGGACGCCTTGGCGAACCTCTTCCTGAGCTTGGCAATCTTGTTGGAGGACAACTTGCCGCCGGCCCCGCTGTCGGGCGAGTCCAACGGTGACCGGGGCACCCTGGGCGCCTTGGCCCTGACGCCCCCGGCCCCCCGGTTCGCTCCCTCCCTGCTGGACTTGTCCCCGCCCTCCTCCTCCCCTCCAGTCTCCACCGACCTCTCCGATGGGCTCCGGTCCGACAGCTGCCGCCCCACCACATGATCACCCCCCATGCCGCTCATGGGCGACGGCGCCTGCTTGGGGCTGGCGTCGCTCATCCTCGAGCGATGCGAGAGGGCCGCCAGCGCCCCGCCGTCGTCCGCCGCGAAGCTGTCCGTCGCCCGCATCGAGCTGGTCTGAGGAAGGGCCGGAAAGGCCGGACCCGCCATGTTGCCGTGTGTTTGGGGATGGGGAATTTGGGGTGTGATACCCCCCTTGCCCCCGGCCTAGGGGTGGGGCCCTTCGGGCGGGACTGCCCCTTTTCGGATCCGCCCGGCCCGGGCGCGCCTGCCCAGTCCTCCCCTCCAGCCCCGAGACGACTGATGGCGCCGGGGGGCGCGACGAGGATATTTGGGCCGGCGGACAGGGAAGGGGGCAATGAAGGGCACGTGATCGCCCGATCACTGTCACAGCCGCTTGATCAGGTAGTCGCATGCAAATCCGCGAAAGCCCAACACGCGGAGCGCCTCCTGCATCTGCACTCGAGAAACGCCAAGTACCTGCTGCAATACACCGAAGTGTGTTGCTTTCTCACGGGGAAAGGGCAGGGGATGCTTAATCGTAGCCGTCCCGTCAAGGGCGAGTGATATGGACGGGAATCGCCGGACGGATGTGGGATCGAGCGCGGGGGGACGGGTCTGCCAGGCCCAGGCGCCAGCTTTGCGATGCGCGCGACACCGGGGTTGGATCGACGCCTGGGCGAGCCGTGTGCGCCTTCAGATCTCCGGGTCCCTCCTCTGAGGGGAGCACACCAGGGCGACAACCCGCGGTCCAAGGGAACACCAGCACGCTCTTGATGTCGCGGTTCTTGCAACCAGCAGCGTGTCATGCAGCGGGTGGCCCGCGGGCGGAATTCTTCCGGCCGGAAAATGGGGCAAGCGGCTCTTGAAAGGGAAAATCCCCCTGCCTGTGGCCACGGTACAGAAGTCGCAGAATGCAAGCAGAAGAAAAATGATATGCTGTTGAGCTGGTCGCATTCAGTGAAGCAATGCATGCAGGAAGACAGCTGCGAATCTGTCAAGCGTGCCACACGTGGCGCCTATTATTTCATCCCGTCGTTGCACCGATTCACAGGTAGGATGTGAAGCAGAAGATCCGTGCGGAAGGACAACCGTATTTTTCCGCTCCTGGCACGACAGAATATACATGACTGCAGGTTTTCATCTCCAAAGAGCTGGCCCTGTCCAAATTGAGCACAACCCGCTCTGTTGTAGATGTGGCAACATCCACGTTGGATTGCTCCATCGGGTGTGGGAGCTGCGGGATGGTATTTGACAATATGTAGTGCACCTTCATGTGTGAAGCGTATTGCGAATGTCTGAAATAGAATCGCACAACAAGTCTGCTCCTCCACGATACAACGTTTACTAGCTGCGCATTGGGGGCTTTCACCATGGGCGTTCACTTGCATGGTGTCGACATTCTATCCACTCTGTGGTTTGCCACCATGAATATGCCGCTCGAGGCATGTGCGAAGCGACTTGGAGTTGTCATTGCAATGTGCCCCAGCGAGCAAATAAATGGTTCATTTCACAGGTAAAAAATCGGTCAAAACTCAAGGTTTCGGACCATGTAAGTGCCATATAAAACCGCGTCAAAATGTGTTAAATTCATATGCACTCACTCAATCGTTACTACTGGGTTTAGTCCCATTTTATACTATAAATACACGATTTAATGCGATTATCAAAATTGTATATTCTACCATATTTTTGACTACTGGGTTGGCGTGCATATCAAGCCCTCACACAATACCCTACAGGGCACCGATGTGTGAGGGCTCGATGTGCAGCGGGCACATGGATCTCAACTCAAAAGCTCACGCAACACGATGAGAGTGTTGCACGAATGCAGGCGACGGCATGTGCGCAGCATAGTGATGCTAGATCATGTATGATTCTTAGTGCCCACTGGCCGAGAAATTCAACATGGAAAACTTCAAGCTACCACTTTTCACGTATCCATCAAGCCACATTAACATGGTTTCTGATCAAAGCGTCCATCTACAAATCGAACACTCTTCAAGTTGTCTTCATCTCAGGCATTGGTATGGGAGTTCTATAGTAAATAATAAAGTATAAAATATGCCTGACCGACACGGCAGCACACCTGGATTGTTGATCAGGGACTGTCCAACCCCCGCTCTGCTCCTTGGATGGCTGGCACAATCGAGGGCGGTATTGAGGCAGACACGACATCCTCAATACATACTTAATGGGCTGCCAGCTCAAGGGGGACATCAGGGCTGGGTGCGACACCCATTGCCCCTCACAGCACACAATGCTGCCGTATATCATGCAACCAAACGGGGTCGCAACTTTGTCGATTCTTAGCCCACACAACGGTCGATGATAGCATGACTGTGAGTGTGACGTGGCTACTTGGGGTAAGGCAGTTATTTGACATTTCTGAAGTGGGAATTACGTAATTGGCTAAATCGACCTTTTGTGAGCGTTATTAAGAGCTTCCTGGTTCCAATGAGCTTTTAAACGCCCGATTCCGTTAAGAAACGGCGAAGATATGGCCTCCTGAAGTCGTAGTACTTGGGGCCAGGGGGTCGGGTGTTAGATGCTTGGAATTAGAGGACATTAGGTCGATCGTAGGTGAACGGTGGACGGTGACTTGGTGCCTGGACGCGCACATTGACTTGTCTTGTCTTGATGTGACCGCGATGGACCCGCGATCGGGCATCGCGCATGCGATATGTGCGCGCGCATGCTGTGAATCCGTGTAACATCTTTGGCCCACTCTCTGGCCTCCCGCGAGCCAGCGAACCACCACCGCGCTGCGCCGCCACCTCTTACCGACAGCAGGCCCCGGGGATCGATCCCCGTCGAGCATTGGGCCCACCGCGCGACCGCCGATTCGACTGCCCCGGATACGCCCACCGTCCGAGGTGGAGAGAGCCGGCTGACCTCCAACAGCCGAGCCGCAGGGCAGGGCGACCCCCATGCCTCCGGAAACCAGCGGCCGCCGACGGGGCCGCAACAGTGAGCCTATGCTATGTTGAGAGACTGAGCAAGAGATCCATGAAACATCAGGTTTTACAATCTGCAACCTAGGTAGAACATCCGCCTGTGCTTGCCCTGGTCCCTAGCAACAACACACTGGCCCCAACCAAACACTCACGATATTCTCTTTACATGCCAAGCCCCAACCCGCTCGTACAATCCATTATTTAGTACAAAAGACCTTCCTGTCATGGCGCACCAACTCTGATCATGACAGAAAATTTTCCATGTCATCCTAGAACGTACCCACATCAGTGAATAATCCTTTTGCAGCATCCTTACACTATCCACACAAACCCATTACACTTCCGGAACTTGTGCTACACAAAATCCACAAACGACCCACCTGACCGTGGCCCACAGTCTGTGGGTACTCGTTAAGTTATATCACCCTTCACCTCCATACACAAATACCCCAATTCTTGTCAAAATACTTTCACAACCCATTCCTCACCTCAAACCCAAATCACCATTGAATCTACTCATAATCAGCTTCATAGAAGTTCTAAATTACATGCAAAATGCCTTTTGTTTCTCACAAACTTTTGTGTCAAACCCTCAGCCCCAAAGTTATTTTTTTTTTATTACATCCCTTTCTTTTTGTTGACTCACAATATCCGTATTTTTAGGCAGGCTATCCTCAAAATAATTACCGTAGGATATTCAACCCTTCCACATCAGTCCATTCCCACCACTATGTTTCTGCTCTGTATTTTCGTCCCAAACCATTATATTACTTTTGCTATGCATCATATTGCGTGAACTTTGAGGGGGCTCTAGAAGCTGTATCCCAAGTTTCAGGTGCAATGGACTAGTTTGTACTGCCATACTAATACATGGGGGTGTGAAACCTTGGTATGGTCATCAACGGCCACCCTGTGGTGACCGGCCCCAGTGGGGCTACGGTCACCTTAGTGTGGGGTCAAGGCCCGGCTATACCAAGGGTGGGTAAGGTGAACACTGGCAATGGGGTTATCTCCCCAATACTGGTTTCCGGGGAGTGGCCCCAGACCTGGGGTTCGGCATTGAGTCCCACGATATGAGGTCTTCAAGTGCCCGCCCCTGAGCTAGCGGCTTTCTATGCAACACAATCCTAAGCCTAGTATGTTGTGCCCCATGCAGAACCAGCCACCTGTTATGCGCACCGGCCTGATGTGGGGGACGCCCTACTACTGGCCCTTGGTGTGGGGGACGCCCTACCCAAGATCGTATTGTATTCCTTGTCCTACGGTAACCCTTATACTTATAAGGATATGGGAGTAGGAGGGGTGGTCCCGCCTAGGTCCCCGGCGAGGCGGGTCCGCGGCTCAAAGAGGGCAGGCGCCCCACACCCACGGACTTTTCGTATCATTTGGTTTCGGAGCCACCTGAGGGTGGCTACCACGCTTCCGCCTGGGCGGACGCGCAAGCGCGGAGCAACGGGCTCCCTCCCCGGCCTCCACCATGGAGGCCGAGGAATCAGACAGTTCTGCCCGCAAGGGCACCCCCGACACGTCGGGAGAGGCTGACACACCCCGGGAGGGGACACCGACTTCGGTTGGTGAGGTTAAAGCCCGGGATGGGCAAGGAGGTGAAAAAGTCCGGGAGGAAACGGCTGGACCCTCCACAGCCACTCCGCCACCCGTAGAGGAAGATGAACCAATGGGGGAAGCGAGTGCCCCACCGGCGGCGGAGAAGAAGCAAGAGCAAGATCAGGGAGCCATAGCGGCGCTGCTGCAGACCCCTGGTATCATGGAGCTCTTGGAGCAAGTGGCGGATGCTGCGGCCCAGAAGGCGAGAGCGAAGCGGGAGGAAGAGACCGCCGAGAGGATCGCCTCGCTGGAGATCGCCATCAACAAGGCCAAGAAAGAAGCTCGAGAAAAAGAGCTGGCCATGAAGAAGGCGAAGCAGCAGAGCCGCGAGGCACAAGAAGCCAAAACCTCCGCCGAAGACCAGGTCAAGGCGTTGAGTGACCGCCTCCTGAAGCAAAAGCAGCGGGCCCAGGAGGCAGAAGAGAGAAGCGCCCAACAGGTGGTGCCAGCTGTGAGGGCCCCCAGTCCGTCGGAGCTGCCCATGCCAACCATTCCAGAGGAAGACTGGAAGGTTGCTGGCAAGCAGCGCTCCAAGCGGAAGAGTCCATCGCCAGGTGAGCGGCCGATGGAAAGTGAGAAATCTCCATA